GTGAGCATATACAGCAGCTTGATACACAGCTTAATGAGCAGGTTGATGAGCTTACACCTATGCCTCGTCAACGCGCTTCACCACGCTGTAGTGGCTGTGGGACTGTTGGGCATACAATAAGAAGCTGCCCTAATAAATAGCTAGATATTTTGTCTGTTATATATTTTAATTCAATGGTGTTAGTGGTTGCAAAGCTTCAAATTCGTGGTGGTTGCGGAGGAAGTGGACGGGACGGCCGTGTGGACGGCTCGGCCGTGGATTACGTTAACTATGGTAGTTAACTAACTAACTAGTTAAGTCATTCTAGTTTCCTGTTCTATAATATATAATTCATAGAAAATGCAAAGCGTTTCCTGGATGGGGATCTGTTGAATTCCGTATATGCTGAAGACTGATTGATATGCTCGCTGCCCTGGCTGCCGCTGATCAATCAGTGCAACCGGGCGATTCACCTGATTAGCCATGACCACTCAGAGCCTGGTCGTCTCAACTATCTGCAATGTAGAATTTGCAGCTGCCCGACTATATCCACAAAAGAAAAGATGGATAGATGATAGGATCGGGGGACTACGACTATGCAGCCAGCATCCTACGAATATGGACAACACATATGCGCACTAACTATGCAATTTAAATTCCTTTTGTTTCCTTGGACTTCTTTTGCAATGACGTTACTTTTTTGTATCTAGTCTGTGGTCGCCAGATTGTCTGTATATAGGCCTTACAATAAATTATTGTCTCAATCAGAGTTCTTCCTCTATTCACTCTGAATAGTGCCTATGACATCCTACTGACTGTTTTAGTTGACAGGATCTGACTGCAACATAATCCTTTTCTTGTATTCTTCCTTGGATCAGTTTGTGCAAGTTTCGGAATTTTATCCAGGCGCCCTTCGGGCCTTCCCCACCGTAACCTCAGCTAATGCACAGCTACCCCACTCTGAGCCCCGAGTATACCTCATAGTTGGCCTTGCATGCAGGTGATCGAGATTTCGTTGTTTTCATCGAGATGTTACATTCCTACATGGAGGCCTAAATCACCATGATTGGGAGTTTGAGAACGCTTCCTAATCCACTAGTGATTGCCAAGATATGTTGCAGCATTATGCCCGAAGAACATTTGTCGATGTGACCACCTTTGATGATGTGTCCACCTTTGATGATGTGTCAAGGAGGTACATAATTGAGTATGATGAAAGCATGCAGGAGTCTACGTGGTACTTCTAAAAAGGAAGTTCCATGTTTGTGGATGGCTTTTAATAACAATCAGATTGGAGTATATTTAGAACTGTGAGTGCCCCCTTCCCCTGGTTGAAAGACAGCTTTATGGATTGCAAGCCAGTCATCAATAAATCATCAATTCTCATTCAATAAAAGACCCCTAATTTTTATGACAAGATAATCGTCATTCCAAAACCATGCCTGTTAGTCCAACACACATAAATGCCTTCCTCATACAAAGTGAATGGCTAATGCTGATTCCAAGACAAATTAGTCAATCTTAGAGTTTCCATCTACGGAGGTGTTCAAGAACAATGAAAAGGCAGTTGATGAGTAAGTTTATCCAGCAAGGTTGAAGGCTCGAAGGCCTTCATTCAATTGACCCATAGAGATATTCGTTCACTGAAGCACATACTGGTAGAATCATTGCAAAGAACCCAGCTTCTTTCCCCGAGAAGAATATAGACAAGCTTACAATTGTTTGGTGAGATTGAACCACTTCATTCTACACTAATTAGATCCTTTTTATTTATTATGAATGAATTAGCTGACTTTATTCCTAGTAAGCGGCTGACAAATGCGCAGATTGCAGAATTGAGCCAGTTAATGTGCCTGACTTTTGAGCATACATAGAAATGCCTGCCTACTTTTCAGAGAATATGTATAACGTGGTCGGTAAGCGAGCGACGCATGTAAGCGAGCGACGCACCTGACCACACCACCTAAATTGGAATCGATTTTATTAACCACCAACGCCATTAAATTCATCCAGCTATCTACTAGGACATTGGTTAATCTTATGCCCTACATTCCCACATAGACTACACGTTGGTGGCCGGCGCGCTGGCCGCTGGCTAGGCGAAATAGCCGGCGCAGCCGCTGCCATCTGAGTGACTATCTCAACTTCGGAAGGCTGGTTTAGGCCCCGAATCACCTGCTGAGCGTCTTCCATTGATAGACTGCCCTGGTGAGTGATCTGTCTCTTAGATCTAGCTCGCTTTTGCTTCTTTTTCTCATTCGCCGCGCGTAGATCCTTGTTTTCCTGCGCTAGTATTGCACCGGCCTGCATAGCTAGCTGGGAACCCTTGATCAGCTTGTTTAGTGCCCTGCCTGGGGGGCTATTGCTGTTTCGGTTGTATAGAGCTTTGATGGAAGATGCTTGTCGATGTAATTGGCGCTGGTTTTGTGGTGTTTTTAAGCTAGAATTGCTGGTTTGACTGCCTGCCTGGCTACCTGGGGGGGTAGGTGTTTTTAGCTGAATATTCAGCTTTAAGACTTAAGAGCACCCGATCGGGGCTATATGGCACTATACCAGTAGCAGCAAAGCTATTTTGGATATTAGCTGGTTTATAGGCCTCAGCACGCGCGCTTGGGTAGGCAGCAAGGAAATCAAGTTTGTCAATATGGTTGAATCCGCAGTGCATCTGCTTATCGACCAAACTGCCATAGGCGCGTTTTAAAACCGCAAAACAGCCTACATCTAGTGGCTGTAATAGATGAGATGCATGCGCTGGCATACAGATTGGTATAATCTTGTTTTGCTTGCAGATTTGGTCGAATTGGGGTGTAAGATGGCTACCATGGCCGTCGAGGATCAATAGCCGATAATCACCAGTGATTCGACTATTAGTCAATGGAATAAAGTGATCTTTTAGCCAAGATAGACCAATCTGATCAGTAGTCCATCCATT